TTTAAAATAAATGTTAGTTCTAGAAAATGTACTATTCTTAGGTTTGATTTTATGCCTATTTTAAATCCTAAATTACTAAATATTTCAATTATTTGTTTTCTTGTATTTTCTATTTTTCATCGTTAAAATTTTTTTAATTCTTAGATCATCATATCTATATAAACCTATGTCCTCTTTATTAATAATATTTGATAAATTATTTAAGATATATATATACCTGTGATTTCCTCCTTAAAATTATAAAAACAAAAAAGTACCATCATAATTGCCCATTGTTACGTCAAAGTTTTCATTCTCGTTGTTACTGTAAATTTTTTTATCCATATTTTATTGTTGTAGTATGGTAATGATTTTCTGCAATGATTAATTATATTCAATTCCTCCTCTTGAATATTTAAGTATTTTGTTAAATTTAATGCTTTATCTTATACATGCTTAGTAATAAATGGATTAAAGTATTTTATATCTATTTGTATAAAAGAGCAATTGTTTTTATTTGCAATACTGTTAAGCCAATTAATAGTTTATTTTGTATTTTTCCATTTGTTTATATTGAGTATTTTTCTTAGTTTCGTACTTAAGTTTTCTATTTGGTTGCTTATTTTTCCGATATTAGTTTCTGTAGGATTTAATAGTTTACATGTTAGTGTATTTAAAAATTGACTTTGTGATCTTTTAATTTAATGAATGGCTCTACTTTTGTTAATTGTTTCATTCTATTTTCTAATTTTAGTTTTGTTGCTATGTGTTTTCTTCTTTATTTATGTTATTTTATAATTCATTTTTGGTAGTTTTGTAAAACATATCTACCTCTTATTCGAATTATCGTTTATAATTGGCATGTTAAATTTTATATATTGATTTGTCGGCATGAATAAATAATTTATTTGATTTATCGAAATCTTTGAGTTCTTTTTATTGAGGTGGGCATTTCATTGTCCAAAAATCCAAATTTATTATTGTTATTGAAATTATCATTATTATTGTGATCATTTTAAGTAGATCAGTAAAATTCTTTCCATTGTAGTCTTTTTATAAAATTTTCTATTTTCTCAATAAGTTTAATTTTGTAATCGTGTACATTTTATATGAGAATATTTTTAATGAATATTCAAATTGTATTGATTCTATATTTTAAAAAAAAACATAATTATTGTAATTGATTGATATTTATATAATCAATAGTCTGTAAAAGTACTCCACTTGGAATTTTTGTTGATTTTTATTCCTGGAGCTTATTGAAGATTTAAGATTTAAGAAACAGCAGATATTTTTATGTATAGTACTCAATATTAAAATAATATTAAAATAATATTAAAAGATTACTTAACTTTCAGTTGAAAAATATGAATTGATAATTTAAAATTAAGTAATCTTTTCATATAATATCATTAATGCTCTATTTTTAATATTATTTTAATATTCTTAATATTGAGCACTATGCATAAAAATATTTGCTGTTTCTTAAATCTTATATATATATATGTGTGTGTATGTGTGTGTGTGTTTGTGGGTATGTTTAACTTTTGTGAGAAAAGATGTATGGTAAAGTGGAAAAAAGTTTGCCAAACATATTTCCTGGAAAACTATTCCTGATATATAAAAATATATATATCGTTATCCACACACACACACACACACACACACACACACACACACATATATATATATATATATATATATGTCTTTACATTGTTTCTATTTTCTCTTAAACTTCCTCGTTGCTCACATGTTCAGTCCAAGGTATTCTCAGGATCCTTGCGTGGAACGAATTCTTTCTAAGTTAAAGTTTCTTCTTCATCTGTGAATTAATTGTCGAGCATTTACTGCCATATAGGAAGATCTGGACCCGAAATCCTGAAATTTTGTTCCACAAGTTTTAACTACAGTGATTAATTTCAGCGAAATTTACGTGATTTCTTGCGACGAATTTTTTTGTATGAAAACATTTTTAACAATTTTGAAATAAATTTGGGAATAATTGAAATTAATTGCAAAATCCAGCGAAAGTCACCTTCGAAATAAAAATAATTGTTTCTGCAGAAAGTAAGAACCAAATTGGTCGAGTGATTTTTTTAACGGCATATCAACAGCTTATGGGTCATTTAATGCCGAAATTTAATTTTCTTGGGAGATTTGAATATATAAAAATATGATATATGTTATTCTGTTTTTACATTAATTCAATATTACAGGTGAGCACTCTTTGATTGTTTACAATGGCACATTTTTTTGTTTCTTAATACTTTGCTTATCTTCTGGGAGGCATCTTTCTCTATCCCAATGAATCTTCGGGTTTCGGTGTCATATTTTTCGTCCTCAGTTAAAAAACAATATAGATATTTAAATCTTTCGAGTTGCCTGTTTCTGCCGTGTCCCGTTTGTAGTTTGCATCTTGGGTTGCCCCCTTTTTTTGTCAAACATTCATTCTGTCTTTAGAGAAGTGATCATTAGTCCTTTCTTCTCACTTCCTTTTTCTACCTTCTCAAAGAGTTCCAGCAGTTTCTTTTCGGTGTCTGCTATCAATGCTTTGTCATGTGTATATTTTATATTGTTAACATTTATCCTAGGTAGGAATTCTAATTCTCTAAAGCTTGCTTCCTAAGAAAGGTTCAATAAGTCCGCTGAGAAATCATCTGATCTTACGGCCTGTTCTATTTTTGTGTATTTACCGAGATCCTTTTCTATCCCTTGCCAGGTGTTTTGTGCCCGGCATTTCTGGATTATTATAATATTGTTACAAACAAATCACGCTTCCTATTTTTATATATCTCTAATTTGTATAATTTAGCCAGACTTAGTAATTGTCTTTATTGAAATCAATTCGCTATATCTATCTTCTATTTATACTTTGTTTTCCACTCACAGTAGATAATATATATATATATATATATATATATATATATATGAAGAAATATAGTTTTAAATTGTGCTATATTTATGGTATAAAGTGCTCAATATCAGAGATAGAGCTTATGTAAATATAAATATAAAAGTGAACATTGAAGAGGCGACTGTCTGTCAGGCTGCGAGTGTTGGATTTTTCTCGACTATTTATATATATGGGTCAGTGGTGCATTGTGGGTACTCCATTCTGGCGGTTATTTTGGCGGGAGTGGCTTCTTTATTTATTTATTTATTTTATTTGGGTTAATTTATTTTTTTGTTTTCATTTTTTATTTTATATATTTATTTATTCATTCTTTTCGTTTTTCGATGTTTTATTAACGTAGTAAAAACTTTTTGTAAATTGTTTAGGTCGCTTATTTGACAGTTTGTTTTGGTCTGGGAAGATAAAGCTATTTATTCGTCCAATTTTTTGATTGATTACCGTTGTCTATTCTGCTATTTTGGTGGGGGACAGTTTTTAATTTGTTTATTATTTTATTTATTTATTTATCTGGATTGATTATTTTTAGTTGTTTTGCTTATTTATGTTTATTTTTATTAGTTCTAACGGTTGTTTTGGCGGGAGCGATTTGTTTATTATTTGGATTAATTTTTACTTATTTTTTCTTATTTATTTGCTCATTTTTTATTTTGAATATTTTTATATACTCTATTCGTTTTACGATTTTTTTTTATCGTTATATAGCAGTTATAGCTATTTTCTCGTACAATTTTTGGATTGATTGTTGTAGTCTATTGTAACGGTTATTGGTTTGTTAATTTGATTATTGTTTATTTTCATCTGTTCTATTTCGTCTATGCTAATGGGAGTGGTTTGTTAATTTTTTATTATTTGCTTGGGTTAATTTATTTTACTTGTTTTTTTATATTATTTTGTTTATTTTTATTTATTCTTTTTAGTTTTCGATTTTTAAGTAACGTAGTAAAAATTTGTTTTCATGTCTGCATTTTGAGATGAGCTCAGATCGTTTATTTAGTAATTTATTTTGGTTTGGGAAGGTAATAATAGCTAAGTTTTAAGTTTTTGTATTGAATGGTGTTGGCTGATGATCTTTGCCTTATTTTTCATGATATTTTTGGTGAGATTTGCGTTTTATTTTTAATTTCTCAGATATACTTAGAAAGCATATTTACTATTTGTAAAATATGTTTTGTGTGTATAGTTTCTTTATTTCTAGGGTTTTTCAGTTACTCCTATATATACTTTTTCTTCATTATCTGGTGATTTTACAATAGCTTGATATATTACATTGTTTTGTGAGCAATTACCGTTTAAGAGACATTCATTCTTTATTCTACAGTTACACGTGGGCTTAATTTGTTCTACGTGGAACTGTATGTCATGTTTATCAAGGCTTTTAAATTTGAGAACGTTCCTAAATATTTATCAGCTGCTTGAAAGGTCAATCAAAACATGTGGACGACATAAAGTGCCGCAATTCGAAGTTTGGTAAGACAAAAGTAAATATCCGAATTCAAGTTTGGTATAGATAGAAGAAACTTAAAGTTAAAAAAAATTTCTCTCTTCCCGAAAAAAATAGTATTGAAATTTCTATTTTTCTTTCTTCCTCTTTTAATATAAATTTTTTTCTTAGTTTTCGATCTCCCTTTTCCTTTCATCTGGATAAATTGACTCCATTTATTAAAAATAACTTCGATCTGAGGAGATGAATATTTGTATGTTCATGAAATAAATTATAAGCGAATGAATTTTAAGGATCGTCTACACATTATATATATATATATATATATATATATATATATATATATATATATATATATATATATATATAAACCAAAACCAAATTTAGTGATAGTTATAAGCAATTTTCAAATAAATTTGAGATTAATTACTGTAGAATTACTTCAACGGTCATGAATGGAATATGCAGGTTTGTAAGTAGAGAAGTTAGAAGTAAATATTTTTGTATGACATCAGCTTGTAAACATCATTTGGTTTTATTTATATTATTTAGGGTAGAGTAAGAAAATTTGGTAGTTTCTCATCTTTTATATCTTGGATTTGATTTTGAACCTATTTTTAATGTTTCCTGATAGAAATTCTAGTTGTCTTAAAAGAGGGAAAAGAATTAATAGAAAGAAAAAAAAAACAGTAGAAAAGATAGAAATATACAAAGGAACATAGAAAGAGGGAGAATGAAAAGGAGTGAGGAAAATAAACGGATGAAGAGATGGAAAAAAAATATGAAAGAGAAGAGACGCAAAGAAGAAGAAGAAGAAGAAGAAGAAGAAGAAGAAGACAGGGATGGAAAGGAAGAAGTGAGAGAGGAAGCAAGGAGAACGGAGAAAAGGAAGAGAGTGAAAGATAAGTAGTTAAAAACAAGATAAAATAGTAAAGAGAGAAAAGTGAAAAGAAAGTAGAAAAGAAGAGAGAAATATGTGGAAGACATGAAAGAAGGAAGAAGATAAAGAAATGACAAAATGGCGAGGAAGAAGACACACGAAATGGTAAAGAAGAGACTCACAGAGAGATGAATATATTTACAAGAGATGAGGAGGAGGACGAAATGGAAGAAAAGGAAGAAGGCCGTAAGATGAGACACAAGTCAAAGAAAGAAACAGTGTCGAAGCGGCAGAAAAACTTAAATAAAACGTTAACAAATTTCCTTGGACCTTGAGAAACGATTGCAGCCTTTGAAAACATGGCTGCCAAATTTTTGCTGGATTGAGTATCTTAATTGGTAGAAAGCTTCTATCTTCTGGGTGATTGGCGTATATTCGTTAAGTTTTAGAAATATTCTATGTTGAGTTACGGCATTCAGATAAATGTTATGAAAGACAGAAAAAGAATTGACATCGACCTATAACAAATGACAAATTTATTTATTTACATTCTGTTCTGATTTTTAAAGCAGTTGAAATGTGTGTAAAGCTGAAAATATTTGTGTAAAATTTCGTATTAATTCGACTTATAAGCTTAAAGTTTCTGAAATCTAATTAATTTCAAAGTAGATGCAGATGATTTAAAATCAATAAAAGAAGAATATAATAAAAGTTAAATTGACAAAGTTCTTTTTTTGTTATCAACTATGATTTAAAGCGGTTTCCTTTGATGTAAAATTTCTTATTGCTACAGTGACAAGGGAAGTGTTGAGACTTGATCAAAAAGGCAGATCAATTTGATGATTTGTTCAAATCTGTGTTTACTAGTTAAGTATTCTTATAGGATCAGCTTTCATAAAAGTGGCCCAAATAAATGCATGTATGTAATTTCTTTTTCAAATTTTCATTGGCTGAAAAAATGTTTTATATTTTTGATTGACGTACTTTTGAATATCATGTTTAGTGATGGATATATGTCTAATGAGCCTTTGTAGGATTTTTAATTTTCCAGCGTGTCTTTCTTGGTTTTTAATTTCCAGTTGTCAGAGTGAAGGCTTCCGTCATTTTTCTTCAATTTTTTATCAAAACTGTAATGGAGAACGAATTTTTTATGTACACAAAAAAAAACAAAAAACAAAACAAAACAAAAAAAAAAACAGAGAGAAATATACGAAATGGATGTGTGTATGTTTTTTTTCCCACAGGAATTATTTGGCTTCAATGTGTGTTGAACTGCTATTTCATATATACTCTCTCGTAAAGTAGGGAATCTTTACAAATGAAGAAGAAACTCGAAAGCCACTGCGATCTGGTTCTACAGATGGATACTTAGAATACTATGGAGAGAACAGAGGTTGGTCAAAAGGAAATGAGAACTAGAAAGACATTTATACGTAAAATTATAAAGATAAAGTTCTAGGCCACATTATGAAGAAGGCGGCTCGGAAAACTTAATACTCACAGAGCGTATTGAATGAAAGAGAGGTAGATGGAAATAATGAGCAACTTTCCAAAATATGTTTGGTAGAGAGATATGTTATGGGAACTTACCCATAATAATAATAGACTATTCCTGACATTATAAATACCGCGCCTCTCAACAGGTATAAGGAGATTGTAAGTCGAGGAGAGATAATTGCGAGCATATTGTAAGGACAATGGAATAGTGATACTAGTCGAGACAACATAGTTCACTCTAACCAAACCTGATAGTCATTACTAATACTTCTACTTCTTTGTATAATATTTCTGTTGTAATATATCTTTGTATTCCATACCGGTGTTCGTGTTATTCTTTCATTGGTTCTAACCTTAGACTATCACCGTGGTACAAGGGATCTGGACCATATCAAGATAAAAGTTGTAATAGTCAGGAAGTTGGGGAGAGCTATGGTCGTCAACGTTCTGCAGGGACACAGCACATAAATGGTTATGAAGAAACAGAATTTATTCCAAGTATAATAGAGAAACTAGCAAGATTTACTATCGGCGGACATAACAAATATATTGTGCGCTAATGGCAGATTTGGAAAGAAGACAGAAAGAAACTGTTAGACAAGATAGTGGCAGAAATCGGCAGAAATCGGCAGAAATCGGCAGAAATCGGCAGAATATGAAGAAAATGGCATCCCATGATGAATAATCAGCAGATTTACATATCCGCTTCAAAAATGGCTCCTTTTATTGACCCCCTGTTAACGGCTGATGAAAAATGATTTCTGTATGATAATCGGAAACTTGGCTCATTTTGGGTGGAGACATTTATTCCTGTCTCATCTGTCTCATCTGATGTACGAAATTGTTACAACTTCTCATCTGATGTATGAGAAGATCATTTAACAAAAGTGTATCAAATCTGATGTAAAGAAAGTGGGTCTATATTGATGCAATATAATGTTTCATACAGCCAATAAAAATTCACAGTTTCCCAAACTCATTATTTTTAAGCTTTTATTGTAATGAAATACATTCAACACAACATCGTTGGCAAAACTGAATCAATTCTAATAATGTTATACTTTGACGAATAAAGTTGTATTTGAGTCGCTGTATGATGTTTCAAAATTTGCCGTTCAAGGCGACGTGATATTTATAAACTTTCTCATTCGTCAAAGGAAGTTCAAATATCGACACGGAATAAGAGAATGTAGATCGAATTCCAGGTGTAACTGTTTATACCAGTTTCAGGCTAATGTACTTATGAAAGACATGAATCCATTCCATTTGCACTCTGCCTTATTGACATATTTGGATAAACTAACAGTGGATATTGGGCACAGGAGGGAGATGTGATCTTTTTAGAAATTTTTTCTTAATCTTTTTTGGTACACATCTTCAAGGTAACTTTTTTCCCTTTGAAATTTCTAATTGGATCAAAAGTAAGGAATGTTCTTGATAGACAACATGAAAAATAACAAGTAAGTGAATACAACAAACCTAAGGCGAATTCGAACTCGGCTCTTCGACTAACAATTCCGTGCCATTCTCCATTACACCACCCACACATCCAAGCTTTGAGAACTTGGTATTCCCAAGTAGACACCAATTTAGGTACTGACCAGGTGATCGTATGGGGACAGTTGTTTCAGTGTAATGTGGCCATAAGTCGACATCATTTATCAACGGAATCGGAAACTGATATTACAATTGATATAATTTACTACACAAGGAAATAGGAGGATATTTTTTTGATTATATCAAATATTACATTTGATTTTACACATCGAGAGCTGGGAATCGACTGACTCACTCTCTCTCTTTCACACACACACGCGCGCGCATCCCCCATATATATATATATATATATATATATATATACACACACACACACACACACACACACACACACACACACACACACACACACACACACACACACACACACACACACACACACACACACATACATATATATATAGATAATTTACAATGTACATAACCCCTAAGGAAATCTGCTATAAATGCACACACGGGAGAAAAGGAGCTTAAAGCCATATGAAATGGTAGAGTTTTAATATTTCTAAATACATTCTCAGTGATCGACCACAAATAAATGTTTCATGAGCTTCCACGCAATCATCAAGTAACCCAGAAACTGTTGTCAAAAAAGGCATTATATATATATATATATATATATATATATATATATATATTGTGTGTGTATTTAGGCAGCATTTTTTCATTGATGCATGTTTCATTAAATAATATAAACAAATTTTGTCTATTTTATGTAAATTCTTTTTATATCGTCTGATAAGCTTAATAACATCATCATTAAACGAAAAATCACAAGAAAATCACAATATTGATACATATGTTTTAATCCTATCTAAGCTTTCGACTTACATAAGCCATTATCAAAGATGGCAATTACATTCTAATATATGATTGTCTGTTTCTGTTTACATGGAAGATTTCCAAGCAACGACAAACTAGTCCATATAAGACGCTGGAAGTGAAAAATCGCACCGCAGCTCATGACGTCACACATGACCACGCGAGAGTGAAAACATATATATATATATATATATATATATATATATATATATATATATATATATATATATATCAAATATATAATTGGTATATGGAATGAATTCCAATAACCAACAATTACTATTCTTAAAAGAGTGCTCAATACAAAGTAGAGCAGATATAATTATTTTTATAAAAAAAATTATAACATAAGTATGTTATAAAAAATCACTACAAAAATAGCCATTTTGTTTCAACACACTCTGTGTCTTATCAAGATGATGTTGAAAAGAAAATAAATGGTTTTAAAAGTTTCAGATTAATTAACGATCCTACACTGGGGAAACATTGTTACAAAAGCTAGAATAACCAATCAAAAACGAAGTATAGAAAGATTCAAAAGCTTGACACGTAAATTTCAGAAATAAGTTATTCCCCAAAAAGTTTCGCTTGAAGATGGAACAGAGCTTAGTACTTTATCTCAATTTAATTCAAATAATTATATTGAAGTTTTTGGCTCTTGTTTTGAAACATGAGAACTCTTATGTAGCGTGTTGGAATCATATTTTTAAATAAATAATTATATTTATGCTCTACTTTTGTATCCAGCACTATTTTTAAAAATAATAACAAAAATACTAAAGAACTTTGGATTATTTACCTAACGAATTCTTTCCTTTTTTTCTATATATTTTTCACACACACACACACACACACACACACACATATATATATATATATTCAAAGCCACGTCCGTGATGCTTATACTTGGGGATCTATCAACTGATGGCATCTTCCGAAATCGAATCTTCGCCATCATGATGGATACACCGGAAGTAAAGGCTGTAAAACTGTGTCATAATCGGAAGAAGCGGTTAGAAAATGAATTCATACAAAGATGGGCAAAATTTAAAAACAACAACAAAAAGAAAATAAAATGAAATATCTGATGAATTTGCACTTATACAAATGAAAGCAAATGAGGCAGGGCTATAGAAATTATATTTTAACAAGACATTTTCGTCGACGATTTTCTTTTACACGAGACGAGAATTTTCAAGATTCTGCAGGTGTTCTAAATTTTCACTCGTTCAGATTTTCAAAAGAAATCGATGAACAAAAATTGAAAAGCGAAATAAAGAAATTAAATTTTATTTTTAAAATCGCTTCATTTCAAAATTTCATATGTATTCAGTTTTTATTTTTAATAAGTTAGGTCGACATATGATATATATTTTAAAGTTATTCGCGTGCACTTTTTTATTGATTTTTGGATGTACAAGTGGATATGCACAATCGGTAGATATAATAAACAATGTAAAAGACAAAAGAATGTTTAAGTAAATT